TATTATTATTATTATTATACAGGATTTATATAGCGCCAACAATTTGCTCAGCGCTTTACAAAATAGTGGAGACAGTACAGTTACAATACAATTGACAGTACAATACAGTTTCAGAACAATATGGTTGGGAGGGCCCTGCTCGTGAGGGCTTACAATCTAGTAGGAGGGGCAAGTGATACAAAAGGTAATAATTGTTTGGATTGAGTTATTGGAGGAAGTAAAAGGCAGTTATGTTGAGATGAGATAGGCTTCCCTGAAGAGATGGGTTTTTAAGGATCGCCTAAAGGTGGGTAGCATAGGAGATAGGCGGACAGATTGGGGTAAGGAGTTCCAGAGGATGGGGGCCACTATGGAAAAGTCACGGAGGGGAGCATGGGAGGAGGTAATGAGGGAGCTAGAGAGCAGGAGGTCTTGAGAGGAATGGAGAAGAAGGTTTTGGTGATATTTTGAGATGAGGTCAGTGGTGTAGGTTGGGGCAGACTTGTAGATAGCTTTGTATGTTGTTGTTAGTATTTTGCATTTTATTCGTTGGGCAAGTGGGAGCCAGTGGAGGGATTGGCAGAGGGGGACGGCAGACACTGAACGGTTAGTAAGGTGGATGAGTCTGGCAGCAGCATTCATGATAGACTGAAGGGGGGATAGCCTGCTTAGTGGTAGGCCAACAAGGAGGGGGTTACAGTCGAGACGAGAGATTACAAGGGAGTGAATTAGAAGCTTTGTGGTTTCGTTTGTTAAAAAGGGGCGTATTTTGGAAATGTTACGGAGGTTGAGTCGGCAAGATTTGGATAGTGATTGGATGTGGGGCTGAAAGGAGAGCTCAGAGTCAAGGATAACACCAAGTACCCTGGCTTGATGGGAGGGGTTGATTGTAGTGTTGTTGATTGTGATGGGGAAGTTGGGGGAGGGAACACGGAGAGGAGGAAATATTAGAAGCTCAGTTTTTGACAGATTGAGTTTGAGGTAGTGGTGTGGCATCCATGCTGAGATGTCACTGAGTAGATTTGAGATAGGTGTAGAGACAAAGGGGGTGAGTTGAGGAGTGGAGAGATAGATCTGGGTGTCATCGGCATAAAGATGGTATTGGAAGCCATGGGAGGCTATCAATTGACCCAGGGAAGAAGTGTAGATAGAGAATAGAAGGGGCCCAAGGACAGACCTTTGGAGACCCCCACGGAAAGAGGAAGAGGAGAGGAGGAGGGAGAATTGTAGGTGACCCTGAAGGTGCGCTGAGATAGGGAGGAGATGAACCATGAGAAAGCTGAGTCTTAGAGGCCAAGGGAATTAAGTTTATTAAGGAGAAGCGGGTGGTCAACTGTGACAAAGGCAGCAGAAACGTCTAAAAGTATGAGTACCGAGTAGTGGCCATTGGTTTTAGCAGTTAGTAGATTGTCAGTAAGTTTTAGAAGGGCAGTTTCTGTGGAGTGTTGCGGACGAAAGCCAGATTGGAACGGGTCAATTAGATTGTTAACTGTAAGGTGGCTGCTCAGGCAGTTGTAGACCAGCCGTTCAAGAAGTTTGCAGGTAAATGGGAGCAGGGAGATGGGTCTCAAGTTGTTCAAACTGGTGGGCCCCAAATATGTTTTTTTTTAACATGGTAGTTACCAGTGCTTGTTTTAGAGCTGATATTGAGCTGATATTGCTACATCATTCAAGTCAGAAGAATGGCTTCATGGAGACCTAGCTCCAAATCATCCCCCCTTCCTGACTATTTTTAGTAGATGAGCCATCACTGGCGAACATTTTCCATAGCTGGAGTTTTATTATGTTTGAACTGTAATGGAGAAATCTCTAGAACTGGTTTTATCACCAAGTCTATTTAGAAAAATGGTGATACCCAACAATATCTGTAATGTAAAGAACTTAGAACTGTATCCAATTAAGGAAAGAATAGATAAAAAATACAACATAGTTTTAGTTTGCATTTTTATGAAAATATAACTGCTGCTTACATTGATTTTACGTTACAGCACATAAGATATGTGCCAAAAAATGGTTTTGATTGCATTTGTTTTTTTTATGTCTGCATCTATAAAATGAATGAAAAATTGCCTTGGCATCATAAAATATGAAAAGAAAAAAATATAAACCAGACAATAGGGAATGGTGGCTGACTAATACCTTTATTATAGAAGAATGTTCCAGTGCCAGCTGGTAGCCACAGTGCCTCAGACTGCCTATCGCTCACACGCAGCATGATGACAACTCCATAATGAAATAGGAAATTCATGGAGGCAAAAACACAGCTGTTTATACTCATAAAATAAGACGTTTACAAGGCAAAGTTTAGTCTGTGATAAGAAGTGTCCAATACATTAATGTGGAAAAGGAAAATGATGCACACTTGGCAGACGGACATAACCAAGACAATGCGTTTGATTAAAATATATGTACTGCTTTTTTCTATCATATAGATATAATATAGACCAGCTTCATGTAAATAATACCATTAATGTGGTTTTGATTCCAATGTATACAATCTATTAGGGATGCACCGATACCGGTTTTTCTGTATAGAGAACGAGTACCCATATTTTTTTATCGGTGACGAGGGAGCATGGAGCCGGCTTCACGAGCAATCAGAAAGCTGGACAGCATGTAATGACTCGCTGCCCGGCTTCCTAAAACTGGAAGTTTGGGTATCGGGCTAGGCATCAGAGCTAGTGCTACTAGTATCGGTGCTTGCCTACAATCTATAGTTTGTACTTTAATACTTACCTAGGGCAGCCATATTTGACTATTAAATCTGCAGGCTTTGTAGCCTGCTTTGCAATAATACAGAATAGTTCTGTTTTACTGCCCCTTCTTACAATGCAAGCCCAGGACTTGGCAGAGACATTAAAATCAATGCACTCCCCATGCACATGTACATGTATATCTTATGTTAACATCTGTTAGTAAGGGAGCTGAGTTAATGCAAATTGAGTTTGCTGCCTCTTGTGGATAATCTACACACTGATATATTTTATACAATAACAAAAATATAGAACAGTGATCTAATACAAAATAAAAAGTTGCAACATGCCAAACATCTAGATGTTAAATCTAGAGAATTCCAAATATTTTCTGAATTCTAGAACAGGCTGATGATAACTTTCCACAATATGTTGTTTTTCTACTTTAGTTCACACTTCCCCATTCTTTCAAATGAGCTGAATTATTCAAAGTGGCCTAACTTTACCTCTTTTAATATTCACATCTAGTGGATACTTGAAATAAGGATTAACTCTAAGGCCTTATTCACACTTGATGGTGTTTATCCTTGCATGCATGAAAGAGGCATGAATTTTTAAAATGTTTTCATTATTTGTTAAGTCTTAGTGAGTTACAGTACTTAATACAAACAAAAAACTTTCTCTGCCTTTCTGATTTCTGTACATGCTCCAGGTCAGTTACTCAGAATGTTGAAGTTAATGAATCAGCATGACAACCAGCCTTTTCAGAAGAAGGTCAGCAAAGCCAGCCACCATATTTCTTTCATGTTGGGTTTACTTTAAGAATATCAAGAAGACAACCTAGCAACTATAACTGCAAAAATAAAAGGATCTATTGGATACCCAGTCTTGGATACCTATTATTGTCAGGCTGTGTAATCATTTACAGAGGCACCTTTATCAAAATATGTGAAATCACCTAGTAGCTGGCACTAGAATTTATTAGAATAAAACTGATATCAATATTGGGTTTATCTTTATAAAGATGGTTGGAGAGCTATTTTTTTTTTGTAAGTCTCAATTTACGAAGAGAATAGTTTGTAAATGCTGGTCTGAAAAGCAATGTGCACAGCAGGTATTTACAAAGAAGTTGCAAAGCTTTTCACTTACTTGACCAAATAAAGGAAAAAAAAACCTTAAAAAAAAAAGAAAACGAATGCAGCTACCTTAAAGAAGAACTCGTTATTTATAAAGTTAACCCTTGGAGTTAGGGAACCACTGGACCGCAAGGGTTAACTGCTTGTTTTTCTCTAGGGGTCGGAATACAGAAGATATATTCACCCAATCCTTAGTCCTGTAGTAGAGAGTGCTCATCTCTCTCCTACTCCACTGTGGCATGACCTCATGTTACAAGTAAAGAAGGGGGTGAGGGGAGACAAATGAGAGAAAAGCAGCAGGTAGAGGTAAGAGCCCCAAAGAGACAGGAGAAGATTGAAAGAGTATCCATCCAAGTGGGAGAAGAAAAAGGAGACCAAGGAGGAGTTTAAGTAAAACATAAAGGGAGAGGAGGCATCAAGGAAGAGGGACAGAGCTAAGTTTAGAGGGCCTGAATAGCCAAGAGATCTACATATTTAGGAAGTAAAGTAGTAATAAAGTAGTACTAAAGGCAGGGAGGTTTTTTTTACCCTAATGCATTACCTGTACGCCCAGTAACTCTCTGTAACGCCCCCCACACACTTACCTGCTGTCAGTCGTTTCCTCTGCTGGGACCAGGAAGATACTCAGCATAACCTAAACTTCCTGGTCCTGGGTACTGAAGGCAGAGGAGCCATAGGCTCATTCTACTCTCAGTCAAAAGTGTGGGAGCGGGGTGTGTGGCTTGCCGCAAGCTGTGTATGTCTATGGACACACAGATAACTGCGGAAACACACACACCCGGGTGTCTCCCTGGCTAGCTGAAGGAGACACCCGCATACAGAGAGGGGGGCTAGATGTTTGGAGACAACTAGAGAACGAGGAAAATAAAATATTTAAAGAAGAAACAAAAGGCATTTAAATTAAGTCTGGCCCTCATAATAGTAATAATAGTAAAAATATGAATATGAAGGTTTAATATCACTTTAAACTCTAAATCCTTTTTCAATAATACATCCAGATCAAACAATTCTACATCGCTCAGCCTTTTTGCCCAAGCACTTACATCATCATGTTTTAGAACAACTAGCTCCAACTTTCTCAGATTTACTTCTCTGAACTTTCTGTCTAGTAGATCACAAGGGACAGAGCAGTCTCCATCTACTAGCTTGGAGAAGAGAGGAGAAGGGACCAGGGGGAACGGGAGTGGCTTGACTTGCTACGTCTGTATTTGTGAAGACACACACAGCTTACCAGCACACACAAAGGTGGCTCCATAGGACCTTGTAGGGAAAGAAGCCACTCTAAAACAGGATATCAGGGGCCAGTGCTCAGGGGACCAACTGATTCTGCAGGAAACGAAAACCTTTTAACATTAGAACATTAAGAAGCAGCATCCATTGTAAGTGATTTCATCAGCATTTCAAAAAGATTAAAAAACCTTTAGACTTTAATATCACTTTAAAGTAATATCATGCCATTAATACCATGTTTTCAGGAAAGGAATTGTGTGTCCCCCCCCCCCTCCCCCACC